TATTTTATGCTTGGTTTTGATACTTGATGATATAAAAATGTACCAATGGTGTCAGGTGTCTCCGTGCAGTATTTGCAGGCAGTCACATTAAACCATATGAATAATAAGTATGAAAAGATTGTTAAATATATTATTTATTATATTTATATCATATTATATAATGTTTATTATATTTATTCTATATATAAGACCGTAGACACACTCATATTAATAYATTATTTGGTGACGTTTTCCGATCTCACCGTTGGCGACAGTAAACTCGGGCAGGAATGAATGGCTGCCACACAGTAATGTGTATTTTATAATCTGAATAATCCGATCGGTATTCGATCGAACAAAAAACTGTGCTTAGTGCTCGTGATGCCGGGCGCCGTGCACRGTTCGGCTCCTACAGGCTACAGGTCGGGCCGGGTCGGCGAGTCGTCAGACGACGTGTGTTGTTCGCCCCGACGCCCCCGTCACCATTAAACACCCACCGAATRCCGATAGCGTTCGCTGCCGGCCGGCTACCGTCGTCGTAGCGATCGTTGCCACTGCCGCCACCACACCACCACAGCTGCAGCACACCGGCGCATCGTCACCTCTCTCTCCACTCCCCTCGTACCCTAGGAATACTACAGACAAGGGTCTGGGACGCTCATCGCTCAGTGCTCACTACTCGACTCAGTACTCACTAGTCAGTACTTCAGTAGTCACTTGACGCTTGTCACTTGTCGAACGGTCGTCGGTTAGTGCGGGTCAGCTGTGCGCCTGTGCCCCAGGTCTCGGTCGAACGATTCCAGCAACGAATAAAATAAAATAATATTTATACCAAGACGACATCGATCCCGCCGGCAGAAATTCGGCTCATCGCTCGTTGTGGTGCCAATAACTGGCTCTTAGACCCGCGTGTGTGCGTTCACCGTGGTTGTACGTTGTACCTACGTCACTCGCCCACACGTCTTTGGTAATCGATTCTTCGTTCCAGCGTTTCAGTATCTACTTGCGATATTTGCGACGTTTGCGTTCATCGACGATTCCCTGCTACTCGGCTGTCGACACGGATAATATTCAACGGTACCTAGGTTTTTGACTTCATATATTATATCGATTTAACATGACGTCGTTTACGGCAATATAATAATATAAAAATTATAATGTCGTATTGATGTATTATTTATACATTAATAACATAATACACAAACATTATCTATCTAATTACTGTATTATTATTATTGTAATAATAATAATAATAATAATAACATAATAATTTAACATTGTGTTTTTGATTTTTACTCCCCAGATTACAGAGCGCAGTCAACGTCCCGCATAACGCTGCCATTTACCGCCGATAATTTTTCGACTTGGAGGTAATTTTTAAAATTTTTTTTTACTATTAAGTTTTATTCGTTATTGACCATCGTTGAATTTCGATGATATAAAATACTAATACGTAATTCATTGACACCTAGCCTGCGAAGTTATTAACATGTCTTATAGATCSTCTAATGTTCTTATTTTTTAAAATTTAAATACGATTTTTATTTAAAATAGACTATTATTGTCTCGTWAGACTGATTAGTGTATTTGACTATTCCCTTGTCATAGATTCGGAGATTCCTTATAMTTCTARACACTTTAATGCAGCAATTTCATGAGTATTTTTTTTTGTTTTAGATGACACGTATTATAWAATATTTTTTACTCATTATTTTTAAAAATATAATGTTAGACGTCACCAGATAACGATTATGTTTTTTATACATTTCTACATATGTCTATATCGACTAGTGAATTTCCCCAACACAATATTATTCTATTTTTCAATTTAAGAGCCTTTTATCAACTTAAAATATTCGTGGCAACACTGATGTCGCATTGCCCATCGGTTATTTGTAACGAACCGCTGATTTTCACTGGACGTAGTGGACAATGGACATTGAAAGTGCACGTATAAATATTAAACCATAATATCCATTYGTACAGGAATAATTGACGTTACAGTTAACAGCTGTTTTTAGATGTTTGTTATTTATAGTATTCGTTTGAGTGTTGAATCACTTGAATCTACTTATAGCTGGCAGCTGCGTAGTTGCAGGCGTTKCAGCCCCGCTGCATCATCAGTGCATTTCCTACACAAATCGCGATTTACGTACTTCTACAATGTTATTTAAATTATAGAATGTAGAATAGACGTAGGTATATTATAAATTATTATCATATTATGTTATAATAATAGGAATTATTGTAAGTCGAGGAAACAACTTMTCTTTTGTAAACAGCTGTAATACTGAATACTGTTTAGTGTACAAAAAAACCTCAAATGACAATATTTTATGATCAATAAAAAATATTTATTTATTTTTATGTTTCCCAGTGATTTATATTAAAGCATTATGCTTATAAAATGTATAGTGAGTGTTGTAATAATTTGAAAACATTCTCAGGTCAAATTTCATAATTATATTAACAAAGCCAGTTACTGAGAGACATTTTTAAAATCTATGTTGAAATATTATTAATTATATTAGCAAATCATATATCATATTTGGTACCTATAACTAATAGAAATATTTAATTTTATATCTATATTTTGTGTAGAGCATTTGATTACTGAAATATCTGAACAAAATAAATTTTTTCTTGTTTAATGTATTAGGTAAGTAATTACTATAGACACAAAAAATAATGGTAAAATAATGTTTCTGCATAAATTATAATATACAAATATACAATATCTATCTGTTTTTACAATTAAACTATTTGAAAAATTGTATAAAAAAAAGCCTTTATTGATTAAAATCTGGCAAATTAACTATCTATTATACATTTTATTTTGTTTTGTTTGAATTTCAGAATATTTAATTCTGCTCATTCATAAAAATTTAAACTAAATTATATAATTTCGACACAGTATAATTTAATCCATAATTTATAGATAGCGMATTATGACATAATAATAACTTATTACAGTTTTTTAATTTGTTAAAAATAAGATAAGGTTCTCGCTTATATTTTAGCGGTCTTAGCATCATAATTCATAATCTTATAAATTATAATAATTATATTATCTTATTTAATGTAAAACAATAGCTAAGTGATATAAGACTTAGTTTATATTTAAGTATCTAATTTCTTATTAAACTAGCTATTGACACTTGTACCAAACTCTAAGCTTTTTTTCATCAATCATTTAGTTATTTATAGACTAGCTTATTATTAATCAGACATAATTTGTTGAATTTTTAGTAATATGAAACAAAAAGTACCTTTGTAAGTTTGTTATCATATTGATAATAGATAGTTACCTAATTATTTTAAATATAATTTAAAATTTATTTTTAATTAATTACTGTTTTTGTTTTCTCAAAGTAATGTCACAAAAAATAGCCTTCTATCACGATACCCCTATTATTTTTTTCTTATTAAAATACATTTGCTTAGTGTATGTTTTTTAAGTTTTCAAAGAAAATTGTARGATATCCTAAGTTATCTAATAAATTATTTATGAAATATTAATTTAAAATCATTTTTTCTTTAAATAAAAGTTTGGCAAGTATTGTTAATTTATCAAAGAAAAAGCTATTACCTACATTGTTATGTTAAAAGTTTTAAATAATTTTTAAATTTTAGACAGCTAGTAAATGCAACTAGTTAACTACCAATTTTAATACTAGGTATTTTTAATGTAGTTATTGTATTTTTTCAATATTGCATTGAAGTACATTTATACCTGTAAAGATAACAGTTAAGAATTCATTGATAATATGACCATATATTAAATACTGTCATATATGTATTATATTTACTTTGTGAATTATAATATATAACTATTAACTGAAAATGTATGTCATTTGATATGATTTATTAAAGTTTGTAAACAATATATTTTATAGCCATAGACATATGGCAAGTAATATTTCTCATTGCGTTAAAAAAAAATAAAACAATGAGGATTATAAAATAATATGTTATTTGCTTATGATAACATTTTTATTCTTATTACTTATTTATTTTTATTACTTAATTGAATATCAATATAGCTCATTTGAATTATTTGATATATGATAATCTTTGGTTGTAGGTTAGTGAACATTCTTGTTTAATTTTAATAGATATGGCCATTATTAATGAGTTATAATATTATTATAACTTATGCAGTTATGACGCAGATATAATATTTTCAACATAAATATAAATTTTGTAATCCCTTATAATTTGGTGAAGTAGGTGTCGTTATTATTCGTCACAACTGTTTTTTACTATAGTTATTAATGTCTGAATTGTTCATTTTGAGTTTTAATTTCCGTCATTACTTGCAAAAAATAAAAATGTTATTATATAATATAGTTTAAATGCTATTTCATCAGATTTATAATATATAATTTAAAATATTATATGAATTATTTTTACAATAACTACAATTAAATTCATCTATTATTAATGACTCAACTTTTAACATTTTTTTGTGTTTTATTGTTTCAATACTGATGTTTTATTAATACAATRGTAATATATTATATAAAGTTTAAAAATGTTTATTTAACATTTTTGAAGATTTCCATATTGGCTACTTAAGATCTGGAAAAACAATTTTTTGAACATGAGTTATCTACAAGTGTTAGGTGTTAGGCTCTTGGTTTCATATTGCTTAAATCAACATAGAATAGTGGAATATTTAGGTATTATTAAATATCATAATACATTTAAAAACTATGAATAACGATTCAGAATTGTGCTTGTTTTAAATTGACATTTTTATAAATATTTTTAATGTTGTTGCTATAATATTATTGTCTATTGGTAGTTTTTCGTTATGCTCGAAAGTTCTACTCGAGGTTCTACTAAACTACCAAACATAACTGAGAAGTAAGAACATTGGCAATACTCAGAGTTGGATTTAAAATATTAAGAACACGCAATTAGTTATTAGTTAATTATTATCGAAAATATTATAGGTATGTCGCTCCGGCTCAACATTTCTAATTTCTAATTATTAAAGTCTGAAACAAAAATTTTACCAAACATCATTTAATTCATTGTTCTAACTTAACCTTTGTGTGGCTGTATTATGGTCGTGATCAGCACTTCTATGGCTCCATGTATGCAATTTATTCAAGTTTATTATAGGCGCAATTTCAATAACATAAAAAAACCATGGACTAAGATAAACGAAGTGTATCTTAGTTCATGTAAAAAACTAARGGTGCTTAAGCTATGCATTTTCTCATTTTAGTTTTATTTTTTTGTAAGAAGAAGTTTTTTTTACATAAAGACGAACATTATTTGAGGCTATTTATTTTAAAATAGGGGTAGCTATAATAACTTAAAATTCGCCGATTAATATACAATATGTGGGCATTTAATCTGGGTAGATAAGTAAAAATAAAATAAAATATATGATAAAAATAACAATAACATTCTTATTTATAATCATACTATAAATTATAATCTTATATTACCTATATTGTTATTAATATATTAGTTTGTACCTTAATATTTTTATTCTTGGAAAAACCTACCAACCATTTGGCTATCCGAGCAATAAATCATAATTGTTAAYGAATTATTAAAATGTGCTTAGGTACTACCTACATTTTACCTATTTCTACTTACTAAACTGCGTTTATGTATWKTGTATTAGTGTTTAATTTTAATATATCACTAAGTTATTTTTTTATATTATTATTTATATTTTAAAATGTATAACTAAAAATTATATTTTCACAGTATCAGAATAATTATATAATATAATATTACATATTAAATACTATGTAGTACTATGGTAGGTATATAAAATAGTTTTCTTGAATTTCAACATTAATTAAATTTGTTGATAATATAATCATGAAATATTATGTAGTCTATATAAGGACTAACTATAACCACTATGTAGGTATTAGTATTGATTAACTTACTATTATTTTAAGTATATAGTATATATATTATACATATTATACATATTTAATATTATATAATATAATTTATTATAAAATCAATGATAATACTGATAATAGATATAATATACTTATACAGCCATACAGGTAACTTATGTAGTTGTATGTTTATCGTATACACGATGTACTTACTCGGGAGTGTTGATTTATAATAATATATTATTGCGTTCAAATTACTAAGAATAAAATATSGAAGACACTTTATAGTTTTACAAATTGCCTTGTTTCACGATAACCACATTATGTCCAGTGTCCACATGTAATACGCAATACGTGTATCGAGGTACACGACTACGTAATAAGTCGTTGACATTCTTCAATTTCTAAATACCTACATTATAATTTATAACTTATTAATATCAATCTAAATATTATAAACCGTCGTAACCCATTATAGGTACATAAAATGACGATGGTGYTCTCAGTTTTCACCTCTTTTGTAAAATGCCTTAAGAGTACGTAACAGTGGAATTTGTTGTCTCCGTCTTACCAGTGYGTAATATAGCAAATTTACGCTCAGCAGAACACTTGTAGCTTCTTTAGTTTAAAAATTACAGTGAATTGACCTATTAGAAACTTKATGGTAAGGACATTATCTGTGTTTGTACGTTGGTTTTTACAATAATTCAATTTTTAAGTGAGATAACTTATGAGCATTTAATATACAGTACATTAAAAATGTTCATAACTCACTTAAAAATTGAATTATCGTAAAAAACCAACGTACAAACACAGATAATGTTCTTACCATCAAGTTTTATTGGTCGATTCACTGTAATTTTTAAACTACAAGTGTTCTGCTGAGCGTAAATTTGCTATATTACGCACTGGTAAGACGGAGACAACAAATACCACTGTTACGTACTCTGAAATAATACATTTTCAATTAATCAATTATGTTCAATGTAAATACTACATGTGAGTATACTGCAGCTAATTAATTTTTCAGTAAATTTTTTGTTATTTTAAAATTTAAGTCTTCAAAATATTGAATTAAAATATCATGTTAATTGCGATTCGTGGTTTTGGTACAATTTTGATTTTAGTAATAGGTAATTCTTATATCATAATATGCGTCTTTGATTTGGTTTTTTTTATCATTATACCTATAATATTGTGGGAATGTGGGATATACTTGTTTTAATTTATTCACTGTATCTTTCCCACCAATACGAATAAAATCCGATTAAACAAAATAAAACAACTTGTTGTTAGATACTCTTGCCAATATTCAATTGGGAATTTCTGTATTTTTAACTCGCGGACCGCCGAGTTATTAGTGAATGTGAGACGTGAGACGGGCTCGCAGTTTCAAAATGATATCGTCATCTACGGTGTTCAAAACCAACACATCTTTGTAGCTTTTAAATTATAGTATTTGGTATAATACTAATAATTGAGTACCTGCCTAATATCCATATTAATAACTACCCAWCTACTTATAAAAAAAAAAAACTGAACCTTTGACGTCATTGGCATATTTTTTTGGCAGATTTTTTATTTTGCTGCATTTCTACAATGGAAGGCGTAAACGCTGAAATCATGCAATCTGGTTTGCATCGCTTGTGGGCCAAGCGTCAGGGTACAATCTTAGGTCACGTGCATGAAATCCGGGATGAGATATTGGACCAGGGTCAATGTGCGTCATCATTTGATAATCAGGTTAGTTGATCTACGCAGTGTATAAATAATTATTTTTATAATGTTTGTAATAATTTAAGTAAATATTACGAATTTACGATAATACATGTACATGAATGGAATATTAATTTATTATAATATTATGTATATTATAATATTATGTATATTATAAAATTCTGATTAGAATTTTTGACACGAACATTATTCAAACATTGTTGCATTGTACGTATGGTATTATACTTATTCTTATATATTATTATTATACGTACAATGTATTTATATAAAATATAGAATWATGTTTCAAGAATTTGAAATGAATAATGATGATACATTTTAAGAAATGAATACATGGAAACCTAAATAATATAAATGGATTGGTATATAAAGTACCTAATTTGAAATATTTGAGGAAATATGAAATATTAATATTTGATAGTGTATTATAGAATGTTGAAAATTGGGCAATGGTTAGATATACAATCTACCGACATTTTTCTATTCATATATGTGATATTTGTTATCTAGCTTTAAATTAATCAATTTTGATATATTTGATTTGTAGATATAGACATTTCATTATTTCCAGTGATGTACTAAACTTTCATTTAAAATAACCAATTTTCATTTAAATTATTTACTACTAGATTCTAGCACAGTAGCACCACACRATATACTTTAATATAATCTAATATTTTTTACTTACTACAAAAATTTGATGTGAATAGAATGTTACAGAAAAAGTTTGGGCTGGCCCAAACTTTAGCAGCAATCAGCATAGACTTTGACGCTACTCAGAAGTTTAGCTGTTGCCATTTGCGAACACCTCTTTGACAAGTTGACGCAGCTGTGTCAACATTGAGCCTTTTGATCCGCCACTGCATATTTATTAAATATAATTTTCATATATTAACATAGGTAAATGATATTAGGCCTAAGTAGTTATAGACAATGATTACTTATTGCGTTAGGTATCAATTAAAAATTTCAATATTATTTGTTTGGAATTTTATGGAAAATAAAATAAAGCCAGTTAAAAATGACATAACATCTATTCTTTATTTTAACGTTCATTTCTTATCAGTGGTGTTAAAATGTTTTTAAATTTGAGATTAATTTATGTTTATAAAATTAATAATTAATAATATATTTTAGATTTGTTCTCAAAGTTGTATATAATGTTTTGTAGGTGTGGTGGTCACTGTGCTCTTTAAAACAATGTTTGTAAGCTGTACTTTATATGCTAATAAACAATGAAATAAGTGTATAYCTATTCAATAAAAATTATTAAATATTGTGTATTATGAAATGCATAATTGTTCAAAAATTATAATAACATGTAAAAAAAATATGCATTATTTTTGTTATTTATACAATTTTATCTAAACTTTTAACTATACTTAAAATATTAAGTTCCTAAGAAATTTTTAAATGCATAATGTTTTGAGCCTTGATCATAAGCTAATGCATAGTATTACGACACATTAACTTAATAAAATATAAGTTATATAACAAAGCTATAAATTACAAAGACATATTATTGAAAAACTTATGTTCCATGCAATTTCTAAAATATTCATTTTGAAAATGAAATTTGCCATGTTTCTCTGAACTTATTTAATATTATGAACTATTGTAATTTGTATATTATATGGTTTTCTATTGTGATAAAATATGTAAACTAAATCCAGTGTTTTAAATGAATTACTTTGTAATTGAATAAAATATTTTTTTGAATAGTTAGCACATTTAAATGTTTAGTAATTATTAATATTTTATATCTTTACATGTATCAAAAATTAGACACAATGTTGGTTATAATTTAAATCTGTGTTTATAAAATTATTTTTAAATGATCAATAATATTCCATACTAAACAATTAATAAATATTACTTGTTTAAATGTTTAATTAAAAATAAAATATATTAAAATAATGCATAATGTGATATAATGTTTCACTGATAGTAATATATTTTTATAAGTACTTATACATAGGTGAAAAATTATATTGATAAAATATTAAAATAATTATAGGACTCGCCAATTAAGAAAAAAAGTTAACACATAATTGTCTAACAAAATAACATACCTAATAAATATTCTAAGGACACGTTTTTAATTCTAATTGAAGTGAATGTAAATTATTTAAGGTCATTATTATTATGAATATTTTTGAATTGTATGTACTTTATACATACATATACATATATATATATGCCTAAGGCTAAAATTAATTTTGGCTAAATGCCTAACATTATTGCACTTATATTACTTTGTTTCAAATTTATTTCTACTGCTTTTGTGATAAAAATAAATTGGCTGACTTTTTCCATTTACTTATTACATCATTGTTGAAGTAAATTATTAGTAGTTATTGTATAAGAACATAAAATACCTGCATTTTTACCTTTGACATAAAGACCAGGGTCATAGTCCCTCTCCCCTAAAAATCATAAACTACCTATAAATAATATTTTGTTTCAGAAATCTGTTTAGAAATTCATATTGTTTATACATTATAATCACAGCCTCTGTAAATATAGTTGTACTATTACATTAAGTGGTCAGTGGGTAAAATTTGAAGTTGTTTTTTGGATCATAAGGATATTCCCCGGCATTCCCCCACCAGAAGAAGAATCAAATCCATTACTGAAATAAGACTTCTATTAATATTACATTTAAATAAATCAGTCATATTTAATATTTTAAATATCAATATGGAATTGTGTTAAAATTGAATTTTTTATGATATAGATAAAGAAACTTAAGTTATGATTTTATAAAGTTGAAATAGTATCATTAATAAATCATATAAAGTTATATAAAAATAGTAAAATATAAATATGTTATTTTGTCATGATTGTATCATTACAATTTTATTTTTAGCCTACTGATGGAGAGTTACTCGGGGATAGAGTCAAGTCTGGAGATGGAGCTCATTATTTGGAAAAAGTTAGTATTGTTTTTAAACTTATGTTTTATCACATTTGGTTGGTAGGTAAATTTATATTTAGATAAATTACAAATGGTAACATAGAAATACATATTTTATGATAATGATTAAAAATGTAACATATTTTTATTTTTTAGTCAATAATAAATTCCAACATATTTCGAGTTTTATGGAATTTAATTTTGATTTAATAAAGAATAACAACTATAAGTTATTTCAAAAATGTAATTGCTCATTTCAATTAAGCTTCAAAAAAAGCCATAAAAATATCAATTTATTTTATATTGTGTTTGAGCATTTGAGTACTAGTTTACTAATTGAATGCTGAGTTAGTGAGGTTTCAATGAAGCAATCTTTTTTTTCAAATTCATTTGAATTTATAATTTCGTGTGGCTTCTGTACCACTTTATTATTTTAAGTAAATGGTATTTAAACAATCGTCTAGTAGTCTTTCTTTTTATTCAATAGTATTCAGTCGAGTTTCTTATAGTATTCAATGTGTACATGCAATAAAGTCTATTTACGCCTCAGGCTTATTTTTTAACAAATATGAAGTTCATGAACTCCTTTTACCAGAGCCCTGTTCTTGTCAGTTCAGGGTTGGTAAGTTATTATCTCTTGGTAAGTTATTAGTATGTTAAAACCATTTTTTTCCTGTAAGTAATCACGTTAATATTATGAATATTATGATGCAATCTATTTACAAAAACATGAGTGCACACATTGAGTTGTTACATTTTATTATTTAACTAAATAATAAAATATTATGTTAWATCCTAGTTATAATACTTATAAATTATAACCTTCAAGTATAATTACTAAAGACCAAGATATATTCTAATATTCTATTTATTTTTTATACACCTAGATTTTATTAATACCACTATTCAATAAAATTATTAAATTAGAGTAATTTTTTTTTTATCTATTTAATAATATGAATTATATAATTACAATAAATTATGTAGCTACTCAAATTGTGCATTTCATCAACAGAATTATTATGTAATTTGTTGTTTTGGATGATAATTATTATTGTTGTTATTTATTTGGATTCAACTGTCATCGATACGGTGCCTGTTAAAAAAAAAAAAACATGTTCGCCAATGTAAATTCTGTTTACAGGACTCATCAGTTACATGCATGGTTTTTATATCCATGACGGACTCCATATTATCAGAACGAAGTTGCTTGTGAGTTTTTGTTGCGACTAAAAAAAANAAAAAAAAAAAATGAAGTATTATCACGAAATACTGGCCAAGTAGCTTTACTACTTACAAAACTATTTAGAAATCTATATGATTCTAAATAACAATTTACTAGGTAGATTCGTATTAATCATATTTGCCATCTAGTATATCTGAAACAACTTGTATGTGAATGATTTATACTAAATATATTTTTTATTTGAATATTAATATTAAACACAAAACTCTCAGATTTATTTTAATATCTGGATCTTCAGAAATTAGATGTTTCTAATCGGAAATTTTAATAATTGTTTCAAAAAATTAAAACATAATTGATACAAATATTTAATTTTTAATTTTACATATTATCGTAAATATATTATTTAGATACCTAATTTATTTAATTAAATATTAAGAGACCTTGTGAGTAATTATTAACGATGCCATTATGCACATATTATTTACATATACTTTGTATCTTATCAGACTATTATTATGATGTAAGATTTGTTACTTATAAAATAATAAGAAGTTAAAAGAAAAATAGTTTAATAGTTTTTTTTTTTTATGTTTTTATATGYATTTGAGAAATTTTAATCTGAGGGTTTTGAGGAAATTTAATTTTTATAATTATAAAATCAACAATGAATGAAGATTATACCCATGAGAAACACACATCCACATTATTCAAAAAATTTTATTCCATATTTTTCTAAACAAATCCTTTTTTTTTTTATTCCTTATTTCCTTATATTACATATTATGAATTCAATAATTATATAGTTACATTGAACAAAAAAAAATCGAAAAACTTGAAATTTGTTGTTTTTATTAAGTTTTTTCTAATTATAGGCGTATTAATATMATATWTTGTATTTTATATTTTTTACTAATAAAATACAATAAAAATAGATAATTTTTGAAATTTTCAACTAATTAGATACTATCTAAATATATATATAGTCATCTCTTGATAATTTTAAATTTTTGGTAACTCAAAGCAGTTGCTCGTTCCTTTAAAAATTTTGCAATAATTTGAATAAAAATGATGAATTTAAGTACACTMGGTAGTGTTAACTAAATTTTTAGGGAAAACCGCCATCAGCATATGACAATTTGAAGTTCCATGCTCTGCCATTCAAAGTTTATTCACTTAAATGGATTTCTTAAGATCTAATTGTTAATAATTTACTTWACAGTTATGTATAATTTAGCTTATTATTYCTGATAATTATTGAGTCATCATTGTAGGTAAAATGATTGTTTTTCATAACTCAGATATTTTGAATTGCTTTTTGCTCTCTTGATATTTTGAATCATTCAGCCATTTAAATTCTTTATATTTTGTGATTTATAATACGCCAAAACCACTTAAAATTATCGATAGTATTTYTTATAGTCAGTTTAACATAAATTAAAATATGAAATGGATAATATATATCAAATGTACATAAAAAACTATAATTATTCATAAAATACTATCAATTTAAAATTTTTATTTTTTTTCATTACATAAAGTATTTTTATAATAATATGTTAATTCATTAAATTAATGAATATACTACTTTAGCATTTATATAATTTAAAATTATGATTTCTTAAGACTCTCAAGGCAAACTTCTTTACTATTATTTTTAATTTCTACAAATACATCCCAATTAATGAATTAACTGTATTTTCATAAAGAATTGATCAAATAGTATGTAAAAATTAATCAAGTATTCAAAATATTATTTGGTTTATTTTAATTATTATTCTATTGGTAATGTTTTTTAAAAAATTCATTCAATAATATACTACTATAAAAAATAACTTATTTTCATTATATTCTGATTTACTATTGTAATTAAATGATTTGTAAAAGATTAAACAAAAAAACAATAATTATTCTTTCGTAATAATGTAGGTATGTAATTTGAGTAAGAATTCAAAACCATTAGAGATAGGCCTAATAGCACCAATATCTATGTGTACCTAATACTATTATTTGTTTATCAACATATGATTTGATTTATGATTGAAGACTTAACTTAATTTTATGATTTAATGCATTGTTTTATAAACAGAATAATATTTAAAAGGATTGAGTTATAATTATGTTCACTTATTGTGTTTTGTGAATGAAAAATAAACATGGAATATTGTAATTTTATATTCAAAATTTCAAACTAAAAAAAAAAAATCAACTGAAATCATTTAAAGAATATTGCGCGCTTTAAATGTTGGTAGAAAAACATGTGTGATTGATAGACTTTAAAACTAGAAACTTACATAGTGAATCCTGGACATGCTACAAGGAATTATGCTGTGGACTGTGGAGGACATTTGGAACATGCAATTGATATTGGACACCATTTCACCTGCCGCTTTGTCAATGTTTTCTCTTAAATTTATCAAGACATTTTGTTTTTCTGCCACCATCAATATTGCGCTATTGAAAACATTTTTAAACTACCTATATACTATTATCAACAGTCAATTTTAGAAATTATACCATTATTATTTTTAAATTTATATCCTCAATACTTAGATCTTTTTCCTTATGTTTTCAATCAATTTAAAACCTTCAAATTAATATTAAGTTGTTTTTTTTATCTGTAGCTTTAACAAATAACTAATATCTCCATTAAAATATAAGTAGATAATTTAATTTTCCCAGTATAAAAAAATATAATTGATTTTTGTTTTTTAATGTGTTTTTAGGAGCTTGCTGTTACCTCTGATCCAGAAAAAAATAATGCTCCATCTGCATTCAGCAGCTTAAAAACTGCAAGTTCTAATAATTCTGATTGGACTATTGAAGAAACTTCTGTGATTAACTTGGATGGAGCTGAGCTCAATGATTTTCCTGCCAAATATTCAGTTCCATTATTACGGCCTTATGAGTTTGCTGCAGTTGGTGTCTGGATTCATCCAAATATTGTGCCTGGGTTTAAATACAAAGTTCGTCCCATTGAAAATAAAGAGGTCAGTTGAATAGAAAAGGGATAGTTTTAGTTAAAGAATGGCTAATATGATAATTTTAACTTGTTTAGCGTACAAGGTTTTTATTTGATAAAAGAGCATTGGAATTAATGAGCATTGGTCGTGGTTATTCAAGACGTTTAACATTTGAAGCTAGTCCAGGATTATTGAATGATAACGAAAATTATTTTTGGACTGATTCCATGCCTTCTGGTTATGCATTTCAAGTACATGTTGTGTCTGTGGGAGACAACTTCACAGTTTTTGACGCAAACAATGTTGCTGTGGCTACAATAGAAGTCACTAAAATCCCGGTAATTTCAAATATGTTATGTTCAAATACAGTTATTTGAAATATTGTAAAAATATTAATATATATAAACAACTTTATTTATATAATTATATAAATATTAGCGGACTGGTATGGGGATTGCCAACACGTCTACCTCCTGTACCTCAGTTAGACTTACAGAGTTCATCAAAGCTTTAATAGCGTTCATCCACTTACCACTTGAGAGCCCACATTTATTTGATATCCAACTGTTAGTTGCGCTATAATTTCCATACCATAATATAGCTATTCCCCTCTTTCTTAACTTTTTCCATTTATTGAACTTGTTGCATCTTAACTTAGTGTGAATCGCACGTGGATTTAGACCACTTACAGGACCTAAGCGTGCGCGAGACTGCTTCTTCYTAGGGAAGATCGCGAACTGCTAGCAAGTGTGGGTCTTGGACGCGTGCTAGCTTTTGGGCAGTGGCGATGTGCTGGATAGAAGCCTCTCATGCCACTTTCAACATACCGAGGCCCCTATATTTCCTGGCTGTGTAGTAAACCGGAATTGGAGGGTCGGTAGGAATACCACATATCTCCCTGCTTCCTTGTCTTACAAGCATATCTACACGTTCAAGGAAATTCTTATAGAGAAGATCGACAGGGGTGGTTTGAATAGAATATTTCAGCTTTGGATAAACATATTGGTCTAGTATGTTTAGTTTCTGATCTCCACACAATAGTGGAGAAGTTACAAAATTTCTAAAATCCTTTTCTATCTTGAGAAAGAAAACTCTTGACGTCAAAAATTAACCCCTAGGTATTTTATGCAGGTGTTACCTTCCACTGGAGGGATTACTGAATTGTCTAAGAATGTTAGATTCWTCGGCACTAGCTGTCCATCTTTTATGTTGATAATCATTGTGTTGGGTTTGGTAAGGAAGAGAAAACGGTAGAGAATTTGTTCTTAGATATGTTCACGAGAGTGGCGACGCTGGCTAAATTCTTGGCGATTACTGTGGTATCATTAAGTTAAAATGGCTTTTATCATTTAGTTAAAAAAATGTAGAAATTTTTCTGGGAGTTAGGTAGTTTTATATTTAGTTATGTTTATTTGTACCAAATTTATAAGTAACTATGAACATTTTTTTCAAAAACTGAATTGAATATGTACACAATAGTTAAGCTGATTACTGTTATTTGGTTTAACAAATAACTAATTAACTATCTACTTAAAATAAATTGTATGTATTATTGTTATGGTTAAATTCTATTGGTATTCTAAACACTTTAACCAATAAACATTTATTTATAATTATAATTGGTAATTTTTAGAATGCTCAGAAAGAAGTCAATCATGAAGTAACAGAGAATGGAGAGGTGAGGAAAAATGTTGAAGTTAGCATGCTTTGCAAAGTAGATTGGTTCTATAAAGAAGATTCATCTGCAATAACACCAGTAAGATTGTACTTTTAAATAAATTATGTTGGTTGTAAATCAATTTTAAACAGCTTTACATATTGAAATTGTTTTTAATGAATTTTAATTGTTCTACTTAGGTCACTGGAATTGCTGTGGCTTCTAAACTACCACGGGGATCAGCAAAGCTTATAAAGATATTAGATGCTTCTATTGGTTTTATACCATGTCGAGGTTACACTTTAATACCTGGCGTAGATGATAAACAACGGCAATTGGTGTTGAATGGATGTAGTATTGGCGATGCACCCACTATGTACACAATGACAGGATTAGAACCATACGAATTGCCTGTGATTGGTAAGCAACAGTGCTTGATCCTGTACTGCAGTGTCAAATAATTTTTTTTTTTAGGTACTTATGTTGACCCAAGAATTATGCCTGGTTTTCATTATAAAGTACGTCCAACAGGGCATAAGAATTATTTGTTTGATGGTAATGCTTTACAATTGATTAACATTGGAATGGGATATGGAAAACGTATGACATTTAAACCTGATAGCCATAGTCTTAACAATAATACAAACTTTTTCTGGAGTGATTCATATCCAGAAGGTTATGGGTTTGAACCTCAAGCTGTATTTTGTGGCATGAAGTTTGATGTTATGAATGACACTCAGCGTATTGGTGAAGCCACAGTATTTCGCAGTGATAATCCTCAAATTGAGGATCAACAATGTATTGTAAGAGTGATATCAAATTTTGTTTTTWATATATCATTGTAAAACTAACTTTAAAATTTTAGGTAAACAGTACAACTGGAGTGACAGTGACAAAGTATATCCATGTAGATGTTACTTGTCAAGTGATGTTGAAAAGTGATAAATCTGACAATGAGTCTCATTCTGTTCGTGTTTCTGGTACTGCAGTTATAGTCAAATACTCTAAGCAGAATGAAGCAAAATTGTTGTATATCGACAATGTGGGTCTTAGCTCTAAGCTAAACTTGGTGTTTATGAATCAAAAGTCTCATATTATTTTTCAAGCTAAATAATCACATTAGATAATTCATAAGTTCAGCTTAAGCACTCCAAGACAAGCATAGATTATTTTGTTCCTTTTACAGTTTATAAATGTGCCATTTTCTGTAAATCTACCTTGAGTATTTTTATTATTTCATGGTTTATTGGTTTAATATTCTCAATATGTTAAACATTTGTTAAATGTTTTTTTATAGTTATAAAATATCTTGTATTTTAATTTGTTTTTGGCATACAACTTAAATATTTAAATTATTGCAGGGTCTGTGTGTTAAGCAAAATTTATGAATAATTATTGGTGCAGTATTCTTTATATTGTCTTACTGTAAAAATAATTATTTGAACTGATAATTTGATAGTTAATCAATTGAGAGTGCACAAACGTGTTTTTGGTTTTTAAAATATAGTAATATCTTGAAAGTATATTTTAGTATTTAATAATTTTTTTGTATTCTTCACACATTGTATTAACTTTTATGTAATTTTTAATTTTTTTTTCTCAGTACTCAGTAGTAGTTAACAATTGAGACAATTTAAATTTTTTTAGTAATTTTTACTAGAAATCATTAATGTATTTATTATTTTATTATCATTTATGTAATTAGTATTTTATGACTGAATTCCATGTTTATTATCATAAACAATATTATATATTTATTATTATTCAAATTATTAAAGTGTAATCACATAATTTTTAATTGGGATAATTACAAAAGAAATATGTTATACTTAATTTCAGTTTATCATGTTATCTTATAATGATTTTTAATATCTTGTTCATAAATTAAAAAAAAAAAAATTAAGTCATTTGTTTTAAATGTGTTATAGTGTTTTAGAAAGCATTCATTTTTGCTTATAGTCTCCTTTAAAAAGATCATATTTTGAGTAGTTTCCTTTTCCCTAGGTTCCTAATAATTTTAAATTTWAAATTTTAATAATATAGTTTGATGTGTTGATAAAATCAATTTATCTATATTTATAAATAAATGAATATCTGTCTGTCCTTTATGCATTCTTAAACAGCTGGACCAATTGCGATGAAATTTGGTACAGATATATATTAGACCTTTTATTTTTATTTTTATTATTTATATAGTTAAGTAATTTACAATCTATACAACATTATGTACAATGGGCAAATTGATAGTTAATATAATATGAAATAACAGAAATTAGCATTTAGGGGCAGGCACTCAGCAGCACCACCCGACCGAGAACATTTTAGATGTGGGTTTTTTTCTTTTTTGTTTTAGCAGGTCTCTAGGCCACTGCCTTTTTAGTCTTCTGTGTACATTGCCAGGAAGTGAGGTGGAAGAAAGTTGCTTTATTAATGGATTACTGTGAGAGTTTAAGTTGGAGTGAAATTTAGAGTAATGTGCTTTTGCTAATTGATTAAGTGTAGGAATTTTTAGGTCTTTGTGAAGATTTTTGTTTGTGAAATATCAAGGAGAAGACGTTATTAATCGTAGGCAGATGGATTGAAAAGCTTGAAGAGTGTTGGTGTTAGAGGGCTTTGCAGAGCCCCATAACTGGATACCATATGTCCAAGCTGGTCGAATYATTGATTTGTATAYYGTAAGTTWATTGGAAAGGGAAAGTTTGGATTTTAAGAGTGGTCTAAGGATATGAAGTCTAGAGTTAACAGTTTTGCGTTTAGCTTTAATGTGTRGGCTCCAGGTTAAGCGTTTGTCGAGAGTTAGTCCGAGGTATTTGACTTCGTTTGCCTTAGGAATTAGTATATTGTTTAACGTGACAGGTGGAGAATTGAGATTGCGTAGTGAAAAAGTTACTTGAACAGATTTAGTTTCATATATTAGACCTATTGGCAGAAGATAAGCTAAGTGATAGGCCATAAATATAATATGAATATATACRATGTGATAGGCCCCAAGAATCTGCGAACAAAAGTCCGGCAAAAAAAGACCCGCGAAAAAAGTCCGATGTAATTAAAGTCCGGTTTATTTATTATACATATTTCGTACAAGAAAACATTTAATGTTATTAAAAATAATAGCAATAATTTATAATGCAATTATTACAATCAACATTATAGGTAGGCAGTGGCGTGCAGACAAGACACAAATGGGGCCTAGGCCCCACTTGAAAGCGGGGTGGGTGTGGGTTTTTTTTATTTGATAAATATTGTGTTTTCAATTTTTCATATAACTGTATAGAGGCCCTTAATAAAACATATATTATTTGTAACTTTGAGTTTTAGGTGGGTGGTGGGTGTAAAAAAATTAGCATTGCCCCACATGGAAAAAGGGATCTGCACGCCACTGTAGGTAGGTACTATAAAAATTAAAATATTACATACAATATGACATTATAATTTTTTGGAGAATAAAGAGAAAATAAATTGTTGACTACAGGTTATTAAAATCAATATATTTATTTGCATTATACAATTCATGTTAAAGAAAATCAACACCATTTTCCTAGTATAAGAAAAAAATAAATGTTGGTTTGTAAAAAAATTTGAAAAGTTTGTAGGTATTTAAAAATTACATTTTTCCATAATTATTTTTATTAAAAATTTTTATTTTTTGGTTCTGATTGGGTATAGGGGTTATAATATCAGGGGCGTCATTTCAGGTTTTTTATCGGTTGTGCGAAGTTTTAAGCAGGCCATTTTGAAATTTCACCAGGCCATATAAAAATAGATATACATAGGTATATGTATATTACCCTGCATTCAATTATTTCCATACATTATAGACCGGTTATTACAATTTGATTTTGATCATATAAATAATTGTGCATTCGTGGCTCGTGCATTATTTTAGGCTTCAGCAAGGCGCAGGCCAATTGTAACATTCTAAAAGTAAGGGGTGCAACCGCACACCCTGCCACCCCCCAAATGGCGCCCCTGGGTTATATCTTACATTATCTTATATATTATATAATATGCCACCAAAGTTTAAATTTCAATTTTTTCGACGTAAATAATTTAACATAAATTATGTATATTAATTTTACTAATAACTTTATTTAAATTGCTTATGTATAATTAATACTGTAATAATTATTTAAATCTTCTTGAATCTTGCGTTCAAAAAATTAATTTATTGGAGCCTCTTAAAAAATAATATATAGGCAACTAAATATTCAGTGTTGTGGTTATCACCTTATTAGAAAGTGATAAGTGTAAAATTAACGGGGAAATCTTATCACATTGATATGACAATTTTAAATGAGACCAAACGTTCCAAACCAAAGAGTAAAGACCCAAACAGACACAACGGCCCGAGTTGCTGACTGTTAAATTGCAATTAACTATTTAAATTAAAATGGTCAGTGTGTTCTACTATTCATGTTAATCAGTTTTTTAGTAAATTGTTTGTTCATACATATTTTAAACTTCACTCAACCTACAACTGACATTTTCTRCGCTACATATAATTTTGTGAGTTTATGTGCTTTACTGCTGCTAAACGGTTTTAATGTTTACATTTTATGCATCTTTAACATCTATTATAAATAATTAATTTAAAATAAATTGATTAAAGCAATATGTTTAATTATTGATATATTGGATTTTTAGTGACTAGCTTTATAGCCTTTAAAATTTGTGTTTATTGTAGATAACTATTAGTTATATTCTGTGCTATTAGATAGGTACCTGATATTTAATGGGTACAACAGTACTGATTAGTAGCAACTCTATTGTYATATTGAAGTATTTATATAAGTATTGATTTGTACTTTTAAAAATATTAAACAATCCTTTATGAAATCTTAATTGAATGATGGTCCTACATTACATCCTATGACAGTAGTAAAATACGGACACAATTTGCTAGTATCACAGCAGTACCGCCTAGACAGTACAATTATACTTCAAACGTTAAAATGTTTAAGGAATTTTCTATATATATATCATGACTTTAATATGACTTTCTTAAATAAAAAAATTTGTCATATTTAACTATGGGCACATATTCTAGTGGAAAATATTGATCATATTTATTTAATAATTTCATATCATAAAAAGTTAAACTCAATAACATGTAGTTTTATATAATTAAAGGTAGAATATGAGCAAAAAAGCAAAAACCACACCAAAGGAAGAATTACCACCAGGATCATTATTAAAAGATATTAATGGTATCGAATGGGAAATTAAAAATATTATTGGTAGTGGAGGATTTGGATATGTTTATTGTGGTCAGTCAAATTATTAATAATTAATTATAATAAACAATAAAATCYTTATTTATAATGTATTTTTTAGGAATGAAATATAAGTGTAGAACAAAAACAGAATATGCTATAAAAACGGTATGTATTTTTTTWAATAATACTAACTGTATGACAAACAAATATTACTAATTAGTAATTACATACGAATTTGTTTAAAGATTTAAACAAAATTATTTTATTTTAGTATGTTGTATTTTGTATGTTATATATTTTGGTATCTCATTCATTATGTATATTATATAATTCCCTATATATGTGTTGGATAATAATTATGTTTTTATTTTATCTTGGTTAGAAATATTTATATCTTATATAATTGAATAAWTGCAATAATTTTTGCTTAACTGAACTTTAATTWAATTTAATGGTGATAGGAAAACATGGAAAGTGGACCCCTATTTGTTGAACGAATGTTTTATCTCAAAAACTTGAAGGAAGAAGGTATTTAAATAAAAAATTTTTTAAATATTATACTCATTATACTCTGCTTACCGATAAAATGTGGTTGCTTACAAACCAAAATGGTTGTTCCTCACCATAACAACCATAACTACAAACTCTTTTTTTGGCTCTTGTTGAATGCACAAAGTTACCTCATTTTCTCGGCAAACGAAGTATTCACAAAATAAGATGATTTTGTGAATTAATTACTTTTTTTTTACGTTTAGATGTGAAAAAATGGGTAGCAATCAAAAAGTTAAAAGAATTACCACTGCCAAGATTCTATGGTTTTGGAAGTACTATTCATAATGATAACAAATATAGGTTTATAGTCATTGAAAAGTTTGATAAAGACTTGGAGGCATTTCTTCAAACTGTTTCAGATGGGTTACTTCTAGGTGCTGTAATYAACATAATTCGACAAATTGTAAATAATACATAAATTTTTAATGTTCCATAAATTTGTATATTTTTTTATTTACTTTTTATTTTTTTAGATTGATGCTTTAGAATTCATTCATGAATGTGGATATGTTCATTGGGACATCAAATGTCAAAATATATTTATTGGTAAAAAGCCAAAAAATAATCATGTGTATTTAGGAGATTTTGGAATGGTAACTAAATATAAGATTGAAGATGTTAAACCAGATAAAAAATGTGCCAATAATGGTACTTTAAATTATATAGCTCTAGATGGCCACCTTGGAAGTAATAATGGATTATCATTTTTAAATCATATTTTTTACTAYGTTAATTTTATTTTTTATAAAAATTATATTTATTTTGTAGTGCATACTCGACGTGGTGATCTTGAGAGCTTAATGTACAATGGCTTAGAATGGTTAAAATTAAAATTACCTTGGAAAAATTTAACATTGCCAAAAACCATTAAATCTAAAAGTGAGATGAAAGATGCAATTTTAACTGCAGGGCCGAATAAAAAAATTTATGATTATAATAATGTTCCAAATTGTAAGTATTACAAATTCTTTTAAAGAACAATTAATTAAATTTATTAAATTTATTAAGCAACAAAAATAAATTTACTTAATTGAATATTTTAATTTTAAGACATATTTTTATTATAAAGTATTAAATTATACCTATTTGTTGTCTGATACAATGAAAAAAGTAAGTTAATGTAATAACACTAATAAACAATATGAGTTCAATTTTCACTGATATATAATAATGGTTGTTAAAAATGAAAATAAATATTTTATAGGGTAAGACTAAAGGGATTCTTATTGCTAATTTAWATATAATATAGGAAAATGAATAATACAAAAATACAATACATTTAAAAAAAATAAACTTATGTTCTTATGATTGTCAAATAAATATAGATGATATTCATAAACATCATGATAAACTTCCCAATCATAGGCGTGCTCRGGCCTCTTTTTCAAGGTATGCAGAAGGCTGACAATGGCGCACCCTGAAAGGTATTTTAAKTTTGTATTGTTTGTAAAATTCTGATAATATAATATATACACAATAGACAAATATTGAAGTATCTACTGTTTAACCAAAAAAATATATTGTATCAAATACCTTGACAATATACAAAAAGTATGTATTTCGCAAATACTTGGTAGTTGATAACTGATAACTGGATGTTTCAATTTTCGCCTCTTAAAGAGTTTCAGGGTATGGTGCAGCTGCATACCATGCATATCCCCTGCGCACGCCTATGCTTCCAATAGGAATACATTCATTATTCTAGAACCAATTTAATGTTCCAAAATGAAAGAATAGAATGTGTACCTACTAGTTACAAATGGGTGTAGATTATATAATATATTATTACAACAATTAATTTAAAATTGATTTTCTCRTAGTCAATAATCGTGTAAAAAAAAATGATAGGCAAGAATTGGATGGACAACTTTAACTGATATCCAAGTGTTTGAGAGCAACACTAATGTTATATTATTTTATTTTAAAAAAAGTATCTTGCGTAAACTTCAATATATCTTTTATATTCTCAAATTGAAGAATCGCCTCTACAACATTTGGGTGGATTGGTATTGATAACCTAACCTAAGCTWGACCAATAATGAAGTGATTAAGTATTAATTGATAGAAAGATGATATTATAATATAGGTAGTTAGAAGTTTTAATATAGCGGATAGAATGGTACATTTTTCCAAAGGATGCCCTTTACTAGGGAAAAAAATATAATTTAGTAAGTCAATTAAATGAGTGCATTAATAATAAAAAATAGGTTATTGGTATAACATTATTATTTGATCAACACTGATTTTTATTTCGGTAGGTAATCCTTGTGTTACGTTTTAAGCGTAAAATAACTATTTTTTAAGTAAGAGATGATGGTGATGATGCTGTATGAATATTATGACTCATGAGTTTATTCTGTGTTATTTGTTCTGTAGTAAATTTTTTTACGAATAAAAATATACTCTTTAGTTTTTATTTACAAAAAAATTACATTCCATTATTATTTTATTTAAAACATTAAATATATTACTTAATAAGTAACTAAAAATTTAATACCTAATATTATGTAATTAATTAATTTATGTATTAAAAGTGTTTTATATAAATTGCTGTTAAAAAATTACTTTGGATAAATTGTAGTAAAAATACTTTTGATATCTTAAGCTCTTGATTGTACTRTAATTTACAGGTTATTTTGAAGCCATGCGTTTGATATATGATCTGGAACCAGCTGAAAAGCCAGATTATGCTTTATTAAAAAAGCTATTAAAGCAGTATAAAACAGAGAAGTTGAGTTCAAGATGAACAACTTTAAAACTAAATATACCTAATCCATATTTAAAAAAATTGATGTATTGTAAAGTATATTATAGTGTACAGTGTTGATTTATAATTTATTTTACAATTAATTATTTTTAAAAAATAGAAATTTTGCATAATTTTCTTTAAGAATAAATAATACTATTTTTTTTTCATGAATTACTCAACTGTATCTTAAAAAAAATTTTTTTTGTGTACTGAAATAAGTTTGTTAATTGCTGTATTATATATTTTCTATTTCAAAACTTTTGTATACCATCAAATAWAATTTCTAAAAGTAAAAATGGTTATTTAATTTTGGATGTGATTTGTTAGCACAAAAACAAAATTAAYTGGTTTTATTGCTTTGGGCCAGTATTATTTTTGCACATGATCAAACTATAATGAAAAATGATCCTGTTTTAAAAAATCAAAAATACTGAATGAGTGATTTTAAATAACAGACAAAGTTTATTTTATTGCCCATATTATAAAATATTAACTCCTTTTTTTTTAATGTTACCTTATTCAATTTCAAATGGTATTGAAGTAAAATAATGGTTTGAGTGATACTTTTATATTTTTATAATTATAATAAGAAAAAATATTTTTAACCAACTGTTAATTTGTGGAATGTATTATGTATCTTCTATTAATTTAATTATAGTATGAAATTTACGAATTTTTCATTCTTAAAATTATATTTWATTATATTAACATAAACCTCAAATAATAAATTTACTTGACAACTAGCCTCGGAGGATTTAGAGTTTATCTTACAAATTTTAAAATATAATAATGTAAAACGATAGAATATTATTTTTAAAAACAAGAATAAAATAAAAACTCCTCCTTGAACCTATTGAACGACTAGGTACACAGGTACAATCGAATCCTAACGTACAGCTTTATGATAACCTACATTAAAAAAATTAATATTAGTGTAGAAATTCAGTTTAAGATGTTAACTAATTTATTTTCATAATATAATATAACTATATAACCATAATGAGGATCAGGTTTCAGGCAATTGTATTTCTATAATAGATGAAAACATAAAATAATAGAATAATACTAACAAGTTAGTTATAGGTAGGTAGCTAGGGTATTTAAATATTAAATATTGTGTTGAATTTGAAATCTTCAGTTTTTCATACATATCATACTTAATACAATTTTACATTTCCACATAATAAAATATAAAATAAATAATAATAAATAGGTAGGTATCTATTAGGTAACTACAATACATACGGAGAAAGTAAGTATCTACCTACGTATACAGTAAACGTAAGACATATTAATTGTAAATTGACTTACCTGTCTTACCTAATATTCGTCTATATAGGTAATAAACAGTTAGTTATATAGACTTAATATGATTTCTAGCTTTTTATCATTATCAGATTATTATAAATAGGTAATTTATGTAATTATTAATTACATGAGACTATTAAGAAACAGAATAACCCACTACCAGCGTTAACGTAACTGTTTTCCCTGGCATACTACCTATGGGCTATATGAACA